TGGATGCATGACAAAGTATGGCTGGCCTTGCTGGCTGCGGTCTGGCATTGGCAGCTCATGTTCATCTTGGAGTCAATAATGACTCCAAGATCGCTTTCTGCCTCTGTGCTTTCAAGAAGGGAACTCCCCAGCTTGTATGCATGCTGTGGATTCCTTCTCCCAAGGTGGAGCACCCTGCATTTGTCTATGTTGAACCCCATCCTATTCTCATCTGGACACTTTTGTAGTCTGTCTAAATCTATTTGCAGCCTCTCTCTCCCTTCAAGTGTGTCCACCTTGCCCCACACCTTAGTGTCATCAGCAAACTTGGACAGTGTGCTTTCAACCCCCTTGTCCAAGTTGCTGATGAAGATGTTAAACAGTGCAGGCCCGAGGACCGAGTCCTGGGGTACCCCACTGCTCACATCTTGCCAGGTTGAGTACAATCTGTCCACCACTACTCTCTGGGTGCGCCCCATCAGCCAATTTTTTACCCATCCAACTGTGTAGGCATCAATGCTACAGTTGCTTAATTTATTGATTAGGATGGGGTGAGAGACAGCGTCAAAGGCCTTCTTAAAGTCCAGAAAGACTACGTCCATGGTGACACCATCATCCAAGGATTTAGTTACTTGGTCATAAAAGGCAATCAGGTTGGTCAGGCAGGACCTGCCTTTGATGAACCCATGCTGATTGCCCCTGAGCATGATCTCCCCTGCTGGCCCCCCACAGATGTGCTCCTTGATGATTCCCTCCAAGATCTTCCCGAGCTCCGAGGTGAGGCTTACAGGCCTATAATTACTTGGGTCCTCCTTCCTCCCCTTCTTGAAAACTGGGACCACATTAGCCAGTTTCCAATCCGTGGCACCTGGCCAAATGACCATGAATGCTCATACAGGATTAATGTGGTGCTGTCTCTATTTTTTGCCACATGTCCATATTTTCTCACTTACCACATGCCCCCATATAAAACACCAACTTTGTTTTTGGAAGACAGAAAGTAGAAAAAAAAGATTATCTCAGAGTCATGGTCTAGAGCTGGCTTTTTTATGGAGAAGCTGTGGTGCAAGATGGCTGTCAGTTTCTCTCTGGGACAGCAAAGCAAGAGAGAATGAAGTTCAGTGTTAGCCCTTTCATAGCCCATCCCAAATTGGCAGCACTTTTTTCAGTGCTCATTTGGCTGCTCAGTTGCCAATTTGAGAGCAGTTGTCAAAGGGTTAACACTGACTCCACCCCTCCTGCTTGCTGATCCAAAGAGAAACTGACAGCCATCTTTCAGCACAGTGTCTTCATGCTTCTATTCCAGCAAAGAATACAAACAGCTTCCCCGCTTAAGACATGCACTCCAATTTTGGTTGGCTGATTTTTGGGAAGGTGTGCATTGTGTGTGCGTAAATACGGGAAAAGGGCCTCTCGTAAAGGCCAGGTACTGCTGGTGTTCACTGGTAAACCATGATAAATACGCTGTGGCTTTTTTCCTCATGGTAAATCAGGATGACACTGATATGAAGTAACTGACAGCCATTTCTTTCCCCTTTTCACAGTGAACCTGTCCCTTTCCTAAGAAACAGAGCACTCTCACTGATATCTGAAATCAAAAGATTTAAAAACACTTTTTTATTGAAGTCAGATTTAATAATTTGCCTAGAATTTCATCAACTTCAATATCTGCCTGATGCCCATGCCCCCCCACCGGCGTTTAATACCAAAATGGTGCGGCACCCACATTTTACACTTAGTGGCTAGGATGCTTGTCCAGGAAGAAGACGACCTGGGTCAAAGCCCTCTTCAGCTTGGCAGAAATCAAAACCGTATCTCTCACTCCTGAGGAGAATGCCATAAGCATCAGCTGACAAAATAGGTTGGCTGGTAACAACCTCCACTGCTGCGGTTGAAGCGGGGCCATGGAATAGTCAAGAGTCCAGGAGCCATGGGGTCAGAAAGAAAACAAGCAAGAAGGACCCAGCGCTGAAGCCCAGTGGTAAGGGCACTTCTTTGATGGAGTGGGGACAGGGAGGGGAGAGTGTTCTGGCTCCTACTTCCAGAACCGTTTCTGCATTTTTCTTGATGAGGTACTTGGATAAAAAACAACACCAACATAAATAATTCTGCGAGCAGGGACCAGAATCCAGGACTCTCCCGTCCCATATGGTAGGGCAAACACCATCTCCTTCCTCCCACCCTTCTGCTGACATACCTACTTAGACTTTAATCCACTGGGTGCAAGATGAGTACCTTTGATACAGTGCCTCACTCAGGGAGGCCCCAGTCTAAACTGTGGACTCTGCATCATATTATAAATAATACAATATAGCTATAGCTTTTAATGCTTTCAGGAGCTGTGTTGTTATGAGACTCCTGGCTGAACTTCAAATAAAGGGTTCAGATTGTGAACAGAACTCCCACAGAACAGGTCTGGAAGTATTTTCTCAGAACATCTCTACAATATCAAGGCATTGGGTAGAGCAGTTTCCCCACATCCTCCCCAAAACTTCTGTGCTCATTCTGTCTGTACTGCCCACCTGCATAGCACGTTGGTTGCCACTTTCACCTCCATGAGACATAGCAGAAGTAAAAATAATAATCAATTAATTTTGTCCTCATTTTCATTTGTGGGATTCTTTTGATTTCAACAGACTTAAAGGAAGGGAAGGTAATACATGGAAGAGAAGATTCTAATCTTTGGGCCAATATTTTTTTTTCTGATTTGACCCTTGCATAGTCATGTATGCCTATAAAAAATGTGAATTACAATTCTGATTTTTAGATGCAAGGAAATGAAGAATTGGGCCCTCCATTTCAATTCTATACTGGTGTGGAGCACTCTTTATGAAATGGGGAAATAAAAATTAGCATTTAATTCCTATTTAACACTGTAAAATAATATTTAACAAAGTGAAATGAATCACTATTATGCTGGTATTTTACTAACAACCTGGAGTAATGCTGTGGTGCACTGGATCCCTCACTAGGCTCAAAACAAAACAAAATAGAATTACTGACCCTGACAAAGCTAGCTGGAAACCAGGCTTCCTTGTCTTCATTTCTTCCCCACCACCAGTCTTTGTTGGAAGCTTCAAGAACTCTGATGACATCTCCAGCTTTAAAACCTAGCTCTTGATCATCCATAGTCACATGGTCCCAAAGTGCTTCTGCATAGACCATAGTGCCATCACTTATCAGCTGAAAAAGGAAAAAAAAGAGTTTGCAAAGAAGAAGGGTTCATCAGTGAACAAAAACCAATCTACAAACTGCTAGAAAAATAAAAAAGCATAAATCGATAAATGCAGAGAAATAACCCTGATCCAAGAAATCTGTGCTCATATAGGCTGCTTGCAGACGTTAAAAAAACAACCCACACTTTACTGGAAGAAGCAGCGTGTTACTTCCACCTGGCTCCACATATATAGATCTGTATAGCTCCTGTGTAGATTGGGTGCTTCAGCAGGGCTTTTTGCTGCTTTTTATCTAATGAATCAGCTTTGGGTAAAGTGCCAAAACCCCCACTAAAGCACCCGATCTATAAAGATGCTGAAAGAGCCAGGTCCAACTAATGCGCTGCTTCTTCTAGGCATGCACTGGGCTCAGGGTGGGGGCACGCCCAGTTGAAAGTAAACCACTGTTTTTTTGTTTTGTTTTTTAATGTCTGCAAACAGCCATAGCTGTTAGTCTGAGAAATCACACCATGGCAAAATGCTCTAGATTCTTGACCCCCACATTTCTGAACTTGTATATAAAAACACACACTCTGTCCTCATACAAACTGAGAAGTTAGACATACTGGAATGCATCCACTTGTTACCTCATTAATTGCTAGCTGTTCCCCTCCAGGCTGCCGGTATCGAGGGCCTGTTTGGCAGAGTTCCTCATAACTGTAATCCTCCTCACTACCATTGTCATCAGCTAAGGCAGAAGATTCAGTCCCACCATCTGCAGCAACTAAAACAAAAAAGATGACAGGCTTGAAACAGAAAGTAAATTAGTTCAGTCAAAGCCCTTTCAGAGAAGCTCCTATATAACAACTCAATAAAAAAATTAAACGTAAAACCAGAAAGAGGAGAAAACAAAAATAAAAAGTGCCTTTGCCTTGAACAACAAAGATTGTTTATCACAGTAAGAGCTAGATGAGAAATTTGCTTCCTGTTCTTTAATAATTATTGCAAGAGACCTTTGGATTTTTTTTTGGGGGGGTGGGTGGGGAAGGGATGTAGAGGTACATGTGAAAGAGGAAGCAGGAGGAGATGCAGAGAGAGAAAGAAAGAATGATAGCCAACTTGAGCCCAGTGGTTTCACCACTGACCTGGGATATATGAAAGAAGCTGATCTAGGGCATGGAGTTGAATGAGGGGAGTGCCCTATTGTTTGGGCTTTCTGGGGTAGCTCTCTTAAATCTTTCCTGTTGGAATTTGTCTAAATTCATTGGACCAGACTGACACTGAGAGTGGCTTAATGTTAGGGCAATAACCTGGGATACGAAGACTCAGGTTCAAGGCGTAGGTCTAAATCCACTTTCATGTCTCCTGCAACCTAGGCAAGTGTCAACACTACCGGGCCAGGGTTATAATGTGGGCCTCTGCTTTTGAACAGTAGTTCCACCCTGGACTTCAGGCAAAACCTGACAAAGGTTTTGTTCTAACCAGGCCCTTTTAACAGAAAAGGTTTGAGTTGGACAAATACACACCTTCTGACAAAAATTGTTTTGTCAAAAGTTCTCAGCTGGCTTTAACACAGAATGATGTTCATTTTATTTATACACCCAGACAAACTAGGAATAACTCCTCTGAAGCAACCAGAATTAACAAGTTGTAAGGCTGGAGTATAAGGGACTGCATCACCGGTGGCTGGCTGTTTAAGGGGGGGGGGATTTAGCTCAACCTACAAATAGTCAGTCGTCTCTCAAGGTTGTAAGGCTTGAAGAGAATGTGGTCCTCAAGAAGACAGGAAATAACTCATCAGCACCAAACTGACTTACACACATCCCAGTGAGTCTCAGGCAGATGGTTTGCTGAGTCTAACTGGTGGCTAGAAGACCCAGGGTCAGAGGAAAGGAACATGATGGATATATTGAATCTGGGATGTTTTGAAAGAATAAATCGAAGTCCCTGAAGTGAAAGGGTGCGAAATCCTGTGGCTGGTGAATGGTCTTTGGTACAGGGGCTGGTTAGTTAGCCCACTGGCTTGCAGCCTGATTCTCATTTACACTAATGCTGCCTAACACATCTCTGGCAATGTAAAGACACTTCAAATTGGATGCAGGTGGATGTAAATGATAAAGTCTCTTCATGTTGTTAAAGAGCTGTGAAGCCTTTTATCTTCAAAAATCTGTCAAAACAGATTACTGTTTGGATCATCCACCCTTTTCTCCATCATAATGTCACATATATGAACCCAGGATCTGTGCAAGTGAAGGGGGCAGAGACTTAACCAACCAGATAGGGGCAAGGAAGAAGTCAGGTCTATAGTGTGGAGAGGGCTTTGAGAGAGTGCTAGAGAAACAAGTGTTACATTCAGAAAGCTCATGTGTATTTTGAGCTTCTCCTTGGAAGTTGGGTCAAATACACTAAGCCATTAAATTCTACCAGGATTATACTTTGTCACATACACAATACTAATAACATATTTAATTTGATAAACAAGCCACAACCCTTTTTCTAAGTAAGCTGCTAATAGTAAAGTCCTTGCACTGGACTGTCATGCCACTGAGTGAGCACCAGGAGGGACTGTGTCACAGAAAGCATAATCCCACCTCAAGTTCTCAGGCATGCATGAAAGAATGTGCCTGCTGCACTTCATAGCCTGCTGTGTCCACTGACTGGTCAGACAAGGCGGCAAGTCAAGAGCTCTGTCTCTCACTGAATCTACATGTACTGCTCCCTGCCCCTACTCATGTGTGATCATGGGGACTGTGAATGTTCCTTGCCTTTGACTGGGGGTGCATGAGTGGAAAGGAAATGACTCCTTGCCCCTTATATCTCCACAAGGACCAAGCATCTCTAGCCCTCTAGGTTTTCATGATGCAGTGGTAAAAGCACCTGAGCCCTGTCTATACTAGCGACAGTCACTTTCTGACTAGTGATGCATCTCTACTACTGTTTGCAGTTTTTATTATGCAGACACTATCTTTTCAAGAACAAGGCTAAAGGATGCAGGGATCAGCTAAAACATTTTCTTGCTGATTTTTTTTCTTCAGAACGTTGCCCCTAGCTTTGGTGTAATAAAGCATGATAACTGTGCCAATCCCCCAACTTTTCAAACTCCTCACTTATATTAATATCATTAGAGCACTAGCCAGAAAGGCTACAACTTTCCTGTTTAGAAAGTTAAGATTTCTTAGTCACAGGGTTAAAACACAGAGAAACCTTTAAAATAGTTACTCCTATAATGTAAAATTTACTGGAATTGCTTTCTTAAAAACCTGTGAATAAATAATAAATGAAAATCAGCCCTTAGCCTAAGGTATCAGAGCAAGTTTTATCCTGAAGCTCATTTTTGCAAGCCACATTGTAATATCACTCCTGACTGCTGTTTTTTTATGGCAGAGCCAGTAGATGCAAATACTCCAAACTACTGAACTAAAGATAAAAAATTAACACAAGTTTGGGTCTGGTAACTGCTTGTTATTCCTCCCTAGTCAAGAAACTTTCAGTGTCTTGATAGGTAAATCTCAAACAAAAATCAGTCATCTCTTCTCAGCATCCACTCTTCCAGTGTTTACTGACAGAAGTAAACACACTACAGATACCAATGAGCTATCTCTGTAGTAAAAAAGGAGACTGCAGAAACTTAAAAGGCAATGTGGGCCTTACTCTGACGCACACTGGCTTTACGCTGGTGTGACTGTTGAACACAGCAGAAGCAACGTTATTTACAACAAAACAAGTATGAACAGAATCAAGCCTAGTGACTGTAGCAGTTACTAATCTTAAACCAAAAAGAATAAATAGAATGCATCTTCTACTCACACATGCCCATCTGAAGGCTCTCCAGACTCCAAAACCGTGCCATTTCCCCCCTGGCTACCATGCTGCCTTCCAAAACAACATACAGAGCAGGGGACTGGCCTTTAAATGGTGAAGCTCAGTCCTCAAAGGTTCCCGGAGAACCACAAAGGCTTTGAGCTACTGAAAATGCAGAAACAGCTTATTCATTGGTTTGAGCTTCAGTATGTGCAGATCAGGCCAGAGCCTACTTAGAAACTGACAGCTCACTCACCCTTCAGTGTAGCTGTGAGTTTAGTGCTTCAGTGACATCATGGGGTACCCTTAGGGAGGAAGTAACAGAAAAGAAACAAAACCTGTATATAAAGTGTTCAGTCCTAATGTACTTACAGTCTACAACACTGTAGTTAATAACACTGCAAGGAGGAATGTTTCTAAGTGCTTTCAGTGCCAAAGAGTACATTGGCTACTTTTAATTAAAGCAGCTAAATGTGAATTAGAGTTTCAATCTAAATTCAAATTACTCCACTTCCCAGGAAAAGACTGTTAAATGAAAAGTGGGAGCTGGGATTTCTCCTTGCCATGTACAAAAAATGATTCTGCTTTGCAACACGCTGTGCATTTATAATATTTTTCCAGAATGTAAGGTGTTACATGCCCCAAAGGTGTGTCTACCTAGCTATTTAAGACTGCTGTTACTTCACAATTAAATTCTGTTACATGTGTTAGGTCACAAGTAGGTCTACATTGTAGCCCAAGCCAAGGCATCAGCTAATTTTTCCACGCAAGTTCCACAGCCTGGAGGCAAAAGCAAGACTTGCCTCTGTCACAGCACATTTAAGCAACCTGCATTTGTATTAGTAATATTTTACAAGCTGGTACAAAAACAGAAAATAAAAGTTGCACCCCTCCTCCAAATATTTTGAAGTCACAGCACTGTATTACTATGGTCTCGAAAATCCTACACAGAGAAGTTCTCACTATCTATATGGAAATAATGTTATTTAGCGGTGTCAGTCCTTTAACCAGGGACTGATTTCTCCAGTGACATGCTCAGAAAGCCCTTGAGGCACTTTGCACACAGCAATATCCCAACACCCACTAAAATCACATGGTTTCCTATAACACTGCTTCAGAAACAGAATGAAAAGGCAAACATTGCATTGCAATATTAATGCTGCCTTTTTTTTATAAAGTCCAGGCTCTGCTGCACTTTGAAGGCAACCAGTGGAGATGAAAAATACACCTCTCTCTTCTGAATTACTGAACTGCCCATTAGCCCCTGCTGGAAAAGATTTACTAGATAAGCAGAGTTTCAATAAGCTATAGTATAATCATAAAAAAACATATATAGCATATTAACATAAAAATATCATAGCACGTCTTGAAATATAAATCAATAAACAACGAAAAAACAAGGCACCTGCAGAAAACTTCCTGTATTTAAATCATTCAAAGGCTCAGTTCTAGAATTGGTGACTAGAGAATTCATGTACAGAGTTGGTGAATAATAGGAATTTGCACTATATGCAAATTATATATAATTGTATTCCAATTATTTTTTTCCTTACAGCTCAGTAGAAAAATCAGACTTGTTACATCTTCTGTTGATGGGAAATTCTGAAAAATATTCCAGAAAAACTGAACAATGGACTGTGCTGACCAGGGAACCCAAAATACCTGCTGGAGTTGTTGTTGGCCACAAAAGATGAGACTAGGAAAATTCTCAAGTGTCTCTGTCTTGACACAAAGCACAAACAAGGGCCTGACCCCTGTCTGGCTCACAGAGAATAATGCTGAGAAGCAATAGTGGGTCAAGGTCTGTGGGGGCAAAATTAAAAGAGTGCCTAATCAGATACACAAAAATTTAAGTGATGTCACTGGCATGCATGAGGATGTATGAAGGAAGGCTCAAGTTGGATAGAGGCACAATGAGAGCATGTAACTTGGCACTGGCACCTGAGCAGGGCTTATAGCGTTTCTTTCTCTTTTTAAATATAC